GATAACATTACACCTCCGGCTCTCTTCCGTTACCTCTGCTCATCCTAGCGGAGCTGCCAGCCATAAATGCACTCGGTTCCTGCACCGCGGTATCTGTCACCGAATGGCGCGTATGATCCCTAGTCCGGGCTGCAGATACCTTCGGGGACGTGAAAACGTTGGACGGACACTGGACGCCACTTACGACGCGCAAACATAGCCTCCACCCCTAACGGCCCCGACCCCTTTTTCTACGATCTCGCTACACGTATAGCCGGAAGGCCGTGTAGTCCGGCTGAAGAGAAAGTGGACACGTTAGGCCAGGCGGTAAGACGAAAGAAGAGGAAAGAGAGAGAGGGGGGAGGAGAGAGAGAAAGAGAGAGCGTCGGATGTTTCAGCGGAAGGTTGCGAAGGTCCTCGGGGTTGGACTGTGTCCACAAGGGTGCCACCGGTGAACTATCCGGCAGAGGGACGGCAGGGTGGAAGGTGAAGGAGAGGGTGTTCCAGTGTACACACCCGGTATAAGTAACGAGCCGTCGCTTTGAATGACCTAGCCGCGTATAAAATGCATGGGATTTCACTCTAATGCCGGCCAGGGAGTTTGCCAGGGAGCGTATTTAGTCCCGAAAGATGAATGTAACAGGTCTCTTTTGACCCGCCCACCGAGAAAGGAAATGGGAGAGAGCCGAAAGTACCCAAAGGATGTACATGTAGTCGTCGCAGTCCTTGCTCTACTCGGAATCACAAATTGGTCTTTCGGGAGCGGCGAGCCGCTGTCACGTGATCCTTAGCGGTCCTTACGACCTTTAAAGCTTTGACCTCGAGATCTGGCCTCGAGCGAGTCTCGAGGAACGGCCAGGTGCTTGTACGGTCGCGACGATTTCTCTTCGGTCAAAAAGAGCTAGAACTAGATTTGCATCGCTCGTTAACGTGCCGAGGTTAGAATCGATGCGACGATAGCTGCTGGTCTCGACGATTGACCGTGTACGAACGTGATCCACGAAGAGACGAACGAATCGACGAGCATTTATTCACGCTCCGGTTGGATGAAACTGTGGATCGGGTGAACGAGCTGCATTGATATAAACTGGGAACGGGTACGACCGCCAGTCGACTAGCTGGGGTATCTCACTCCGCGAAGAAAACAAAACGACCACGGTGAAAGAAGGTACGTGGGTGGTTGCGAGCGCGCACGGAGGTGGAGATGATACTAGACGAGGAGGCGGGAGGGGTGTACGTGAAGGAGCTGAACACCCTAGGGAGCCGGCAGCTCGTTACGCGAGACGTGGTACCGGTGCCGACTCTCTTTCTCTCCCTTCTATTCTCTCTTCCTGGGCTTTCCTTCGCCACCCTATTCTCCCTTTCACTCCGCCTGCCCCCTCGCCCCGTGATTCTCTCAAACCTTGATCCTTTTGCACATCTATCTCTATCCTCCTCCGTCTCCTCCTCCTCCTCGCACCGCCGCCGCCCCGTGCTCTCTCAACGCCCCACGTTTTCGAGGCAGCATCGCACTGAATAATGTCCCACGTACACGGTTGTCTTCTATCTATACGCGCGTATCGCTACTCAGTAACAAGTGGATATTATGCCGACGAGGATGATGTCATTGCTACCTTATCTTGGGCCAACGTTGCTCTTGCTCAAGGGGACGTCGGCATCCATGGCGACTTTGCTCGAAGCTTCGCGATAGTTTATTACCATCCTGTCTGCGCGCAAGTTTTTCTGGTCACGAATTCATCGCTACGGCGCGCGTGCTCGTTCGAAAATATTGCAGCGTTCTCCCTGACCCTTTCTTTATTTGTTTGTGCTCCCTCTCCCGATTGGTTCAATTGTTTTATCTCTGTTTATTATTTTGACTCGGGTTCGATTATCCGATATTCGAATCGAACGTGCGGCACGCAATTTGCAATAACTCGGGGAATTTGCAATTTGTTCTTAACCGTACCAACGGCGAGACTGCATCTCGTTCTACTTGCGTGGGTGGTTCAAAGCAGCAACTGCGAATAGGAGTCTTTATAGAAGTTGTTCGGGATAGGTGCTTCAAACTTCCGTTTCGCAATAAACAAACCTCGGAGAAGTTTATTGAACAAAGCGCGGCAATAACAATTCACGAGATACTTCACCCTGAACACTTCCGTACCAACATTAATTTAACGTTGGATGATCCTCAAAGTTACTGCTGTTGCTTTCAGCGCACGTAACCTCCGCTAAATTCAATATCATTCCTTTTTAAAAGCCGCGCGGTTACGTTGAACTTTCTTAAGCAAATTACACCGAAATTTGTTATTACTGTACAAAGGATCATTCGGATTATTGTTGTACACGTTTCATTTTTATCCCACACGGTATTTTGACTTCTTTTTCGCATTGCGTGTATTCAAGGAGACAGACGATAGGCCAGCAAAGTGACGTAAAGACAAGGTACCAAGGCAAGAAAGAGGCAGCAACCGAAACGTTTCTAGAGGACTCGGTAATGACTGTCTCCATTTTTCCGGCGTGTCGGAAGCGCATTGCACCATTTCCGCTAGCCCGGAAGTGCGGTAACAAAGCGTTTCCGTTGCGCGGACTCGAGGAGGTTGTTACGTTGCGACAAGCCTGCACTACCGTGGCAGGGACACCCGTTGACATTTCGATGAACTTTGCGACGCGACCATTTTCTACCCTAAAGTTCATCGGGTTTAACACGTGTTTTGGAGGTTGACGAACTTCTCCTGGATAAATTTCTAACTTCATCGAGAGGAATTAGAGCCTTGTAATATCGCGACAACGGTTGCGGAACACGACTAGTGACAATGTGGTTCCAGCATGCTCCCTACAGTTTCAACGTCGAAAGAAGCACTGTTCTAGTTCTGGAATAAACAATCATCGTCCGTTCAATAATCTGTTGTGAGACTACGCTAACGGTGCTCAATGTTATTAGAAAAATGAATGAAATAAAATTATTGTATTATAACAATTCGACTTGTTAGTTTCATTTAAAGTTCCTCAGAGTCTTTTCCGAACTTCGTATCTCATGCGATTATATCTATCAGTATTATTAAACAGAAAAACCAAATTACAGGGGGAAGGTAAACAGCCCCTGCCCATAATAAGAGCAAAGCGATTCGTTAAACGTTCTCCAATTTAATTTAATGAAAGTCGCCAGATTAAGGTTTCCAAGGGTCTGGCACAGGGCAAACGCTTCCTCGTGCGATTACCGGCGCGTCCAATGCAGGATTTGTCTTCGCCCCGATTGATTGCGCTATTTTACATGAAAATAGAAAGGGATCTCCTTAAGAATGGCTATACGATGACGTGTATTATAGCATCGAGTTATCGGAACGTGGATCGTAGCGGACGTGCCAATACCTATCGCGCGCACAGCCCAGAGCCTGGCAACGCTCCCAAACTCGAAACGAAACGCGTGTATGTATTCGTATTACTTTTTTGAACGAGCCATGCTGCTACGGAGGACGCAAACGAACGGGGAAAGGGTCGAGGCCAGTGCAGCCACCGCCATTTTATGAAAATTGCACCGCCCGTTCCGGCTGCCCCGAGCGTTCAGCCGAAATATGTTACTCCCATCTCGCGATTAATGGCCGTTATTTTATTTCGAATATTGCCGCCGGAACCGAGCACAATGCGCTCACTGTTGATTACGATATCTTCCCGTAGAGGCATCAAGTTTACAGATTCAAACTTTTAAATAAATGTAGCACGTTCGCTTCACGAAGTCCAATTCATCGATTTGTTTTCCAGTGATAAAAATATAAAATCATCATCCTGAAATCTGTGTCGGAATTATAGCGGAAGGCAGAAAGGAGCATCGAATAATTCATAAATTATTTTAACATTTATGAATAACCCTCCTCGGAAGAATCCAATAATTCGTTTCGGAGCGCGAACGATTTTCCCCGACCCGTCCCTATCGGATAATAGCGCAAATTGAGGCGTTATAAGTGAACGATCGTAATAGAAGTAACAAAATTTTCATCGGGGCAATCCGACAGATCGAAACGTGCGGCACGTTAATACGTCGGGATACGTGATTACCGACGGTGCCGCTGAATCGTGATTTCCCTCTGCCCGTCATAATTTATGCGCTTCCGGCATTCGACGTTGGAATGAAATAAAATTGGCCGGCGACGCTACGTGTACCCACGTGCCGTTCCAACGCGGGAGGAAAAAACGAAACATTCGTTAGAAGAACGGCCGGGAGAAGAATTATAAAAACGGCCCGGTGACGCATCGAACGCGCATTGGACGCATCGCGTCGGGCTGTCAGAGGAGCCGTAGGAACGTTGAAAAGACCCCCGTTCAAAACGCTAGAACGAGTTCGGCAGACATCGAGCAAAAGGTGGCTAAAAAGGGGTGAGTAGAAGGGATGGACCGGTCAGGGGGTTAAGGGAAGAAGGAGAGGAGAGAGAAAAGGGTACAATTAAAATTAGCGCAATTCAGTCACTCGCCGGTAATTCGCGTGCCTGGCATTTATATTATTAAGCCGCGCAAATTTCTCTCGACTCTGCTCCCCACCACGGTCCTCCCGGCCTCGTGTGAATACACGCTCGTCGACCTGCTATGCGTAAAGGTGTGCGAGCGTGTACACCACACCTCTGCCTCTTTCCCTTTTGATATTGTGCGGACCCGTCCTCGTTTCATCGCGAGCAACACGCTACAGGCTACTACACCCGCCGCGAGAGTTTCGGCGGTGACTAACGGCCCGGTATGTCGGGAAGAAAATAATTGCGGATTTTGTAATGAATTACATCTAATTGCTCTTATTACGAGAACGAGAGGGCTTTATTATTCTCTCTTCAGTACCATTTCTACTGTACTACCTCACATTTATCCGCTCGTTCTTCACGTCCCCTCGTCTGACCCCTAATTCTGATTAGGTGACTTTCGTTCGTAGTCCAGCTTATCTCGCAGTAGCTGACTTTTCAACCGAAGTTTTTTTAAACGCGGAACATAGTGAATTCTCGAATACGATGAATTTTTATCTGGACTTATGAGTATTCGTGGTATGTTAGAGAATTTCTTACCTTTGGATGTGTTCTCCTAGGGAACGCTACCTTCGGGTCGATCTGGAAAATAATAGAAACGTAATTAATAATGTATTTGCCATTCAAATTGAATAATAGAATGTCTCGACCAAAAATGTTGGTTTCGCGTGTATACACACAACCCTGTTTCAGAGGCGAGTTGAACAAAGGGAGCGATTATTTGGCAAAGTGACCGCAACAAAGCATTCCATGAAAGAAAAATTCCCGGGAATCCCAGTATTGTCGGAAATCGTGGAACACGAAAACGGGCGTTGTGGGACAACAGCGGGGCGCGGAAAGGGTAAACAGAGAGTGGCCGGGCGCCGGAAAGGAAATAGAACAAATGAAAACGGAGAAATCTCCGGGTTTCCTCAGCTGGAACTCCCATTACAATTAATTACCAAGTGATAAAAAGTAGGCGAGTTGAATACTTTGAATGGAGAGGCCGCGTGAGGTTTGCGATGGAGGTTCGCCGTGGGTAGGTGTGTACGCGTTAGAAGCCGAACTCCCGGCTTCCTCGTCCCTGTCGTTCGGTTAGTTCCCGGTTTTCGCCCTTGGGGACGTGCAACCAGGTCGAACGTAACTGCACCTTACGCTCTACGTGGCTAAAAAGCGGGATCTCGCCCCCTTAGTCCCACGGATGGTTAGGGGAGACCGCGAAGCCATGGAATTCCCAGCGCAGCCGCGGCGTAAATTGTCGCCGCGAAATCGAGCCCGCTCGAATGTTCATTTCGGCTTCCCTCGTGACCTTACTTCAAACTTACACGTGCGAATCTACGCGAAAACGTACGTGACCGCACGAGCGGCGTCCCAACCGCCAGACATTCAAGGAGTCGAGGGCCAAATCTTTGGGAACTCGCAAACTGGCGTGCGATCGGATATTTTCCCTGTGCACCGTGCCACGAACATCATAGCGAAAATAGGAGCCGAACAGTAATTTATAGAATCGATAAGGAAGTGGAAGTACTCATTTGAAGTACATTACAATATTATTTTTCACTCATAAATTACCTATAAACAACAATCTGAGATATTTTGGAATTCAGCTGTTGATATAAAAATTTAGTTCCACACTGAATTCTTATCACTAGCCAAGGAAACAAACTAATATTCACATTTTCATAAATACGAAGAGATTTCGAGTGCCAATTACTGTCCGAGTTCTCGAGAATCAAATTATTAAATTGTAAAACTAGAGTCTATCATCCGGTTCCATTTGCTTCGAGCATTCAATTTATAAAACATGAACGTCGTTTAAATTGAAATGTGCCTTCCACTCAGATGCCATTAGAGATATTGTCGCTTACGTAGATCACCAATAACAGTCCGGGGCATACATTAAACATTTAATTTCCGGGCGATCGCGGTGGAAGCTGAATCGGCAACTTTTTATCAAGGCACGAGGAGTCCTCCACGTCGCGTTGCCAAAAGTGGGTCAACCTTTTTTTGTTTTTATCGTCTGACTCAGGTCGCGGAGCAAGGAGATTTTTTATCGCGTCAAATACTTCTAGAGTTCTAGCGAGTCGAAAATATTTTCCTTATTTATCGACTTTCCCAGGATTCATGTGGAGATTGAATCGGTTTTTGTCCATAAGAAAGATTGCGCACAGCTCTTCGTTCCACCATATAAGATGGTATGAACACGGATTATTTAAAACAAGATACGTCCGTGAATATTTAAGGAGTAATATGCATGTATTGATATTTGCTTCAGAGAGACGTTCCATGATCCCATGAATGATTTATGATGATCTGTAGCGGATCTTTAGGATTTCAATTTTTCATAAGCATTCATCAGAAGTCTATTAAATTTACGAGGATGGCAGTTGCCGCGGTATCGAATAATCGACGGTCGTCGTAATAAATCCTTTGAAACGTCTTTCGATGTCCCGACGTAATTAAGATGAATGTCTTTCGAGTAATCCAAAGCGTTAAAATACGCTTTATATTAATGGAACGTATATTTCATTTGCTATTTGATACGTGCAAACATAAATAGGAATTTCTAATGATTTTAAGGAAGCAAATTACACCTGTGTATATAAATTTACATAGATTAAGTAGTATAACACAGTATATGGTCAGACATAAGGAAATCGTACTTCTACCGACAAAACTCCCTCGCTGTACGAGGTGAATCGTGTACTTAATCAAAGCACGCGGGATTCGTTGAGAATAGTGATCGTCGCTAAACTTCAACTGTTTCGACGGCGCGAACAAGCGAGAGAAAACTCGTGCGAGGAGAGGAAGTGGCACGGCGCTTGAAGCCACGAACGTGGTAATGACAAGCAAGAAAACCCGGGTCTATCCACGCGGACGACGTAGTTCCTCTCCTGTGTTTTCTCCCTTTCTCCCGGTCTCCGACTCCCTGGTTCGCGAACCACGCCGTTTGCATAATCCCCTACGGCAAAGTTCACACTGGTCGCTCGACGCTCGCACGCTCCCGTGGATGCCCCGGAGCACGTCAAGCGGGCCGACGCGGCGTCGACAACTACAACGAGGAGGATGGCGAAAGACTTTCGGTTCACCCGCGTCGTCGCGATTCTTCTCCTTCTGATCCGTGTCTCGCGTCACGCCGTGGAAGAACGGGCCGAGGGGGAGGGAGATTGCGCGAGAAACTTTACCCTCGAACTCTTTACAGCGAGAGTTCGCGATGGAATCTGCGGATGAATTACTGTGGTCGAGAAACTCTGAGGTAAAATTAACTGTTCCGGCGAGGACTTTAAAGATAACACGAGCCTTTTAATTCTAGACGCAGCGGGAATACTGTTTTTCTTTTCTCGATTGAAAATTGCGCGATTGGAATGGATGAATCACAAGAAAATGATTTTCTTTTCTTGGAGTTTCATCTCGCCGATCAGTGGATCGACATGGTTAGTCTCGACGCTATTCGATTGGTTTCGTTCGGTCCCGGACAAAGTAAAGAATCGTGCGAGACGGAGGAAGGAAGAGGGAACGGGGAGAAAAGTACGGAGGGAGGCATTACGGAGAAAAATCGAGAGGCTCGAAGCCATTCTCGCAAACATAACCCAGTTACTCGATATCGCGCGAAATGATCGGCCCGCAAGCATCGAGTACGACCGCGGTGGAGGACGAGTTAGTCGTCGACAACGACGATAGAAATTCAATCTGGTTGGCACGCCTGGAAATTGGAAGAGCCACCTATCCCGGCTGATTCTAGGATACTTCGCCGCGGCGTAAAAGCACGAGCTCGTATCGGCCACATTTGGAAAAGTAATCCGGGAAGCGTCCTCTCTCTCCCTCGCTCCCACGTCGCCTCTCTATCCGAGTTTCCTCGGGAGCTCGGTCTCGAGAACCAGCGGCGGTGCTGCATCCAGCAGGATAATACGAACGAGAAATTTCACACGCGAATTCGTGGTAATTCCGGCGGAATTCAAACGCCAGCGCCGGCCGCGGCGGTTAAATTGTTCCGCGAGGTACTTAAGTTCCCGCAGAGATACGCAGGCAGCGTCATTAAACTCGAAATCGTGTACGTAACGGAGGAGGGTGATTAAAAATTACGCAACGGATGCGAAAGTCCGGTAATTAGAAATTATTGCCAGCCGTCGATGAAGCGTTCCCTTCGTTATATCAAACCGGATTTCTATGAACAGTGTGCACAGTGAAGGGGCGTGAATAGCAAATGAATTCGCGAACTTTGACGATAAATATTCCGTGTTCGCGCGTGCTATATACCTGATCGGAATGCAAATGGATTTTGGGAACTAGACTGCATCGTGGCGCGTTATTTACCGCGGCTACCACTTCCCCGTACTATGGCTAATTATTTTGCATACACCGGTGTTCTTTTTTTTAACCGTACTCGGTTAACGTAATATAACGAAACAACTACTCGTTTAATTTATTTCGAGCCTGTACCAGTATCAAATTAAAACAGCTAACGTGGCTTCTTTTTTTTAAAAACAGACCCATTACGAGATTAGAGTTTTTCAATTACAATGCTGTGTAATTAAATCGGGACTTCATTAATGTATTCAAATTCCGCCGTGATTAATTCTGTACGGGTACACGTATATTGAATTAAATTCGAGGAAGTAGACCAGGATGGAATTTGTTTTTCGGGGTCGATTCCGTGTCAAGACTCTTTCAACACTCGACGTTCGACAGGGGAGTGGTTGAAACAGATGGATGGATAGAGAGAGAACCGGTCTGAGTGTCATTCAAGATTTAACTCCAGCCTCAGTAAGATCGAAGTAAATATCTGCGAGCTACAAGTGGGAGATTTTCCCACACTCGAGCAATTCTCTAACCCTTCACGGTGGCAGCGTTCGTCTCCCTTCGCGTTTTTCACCCCACCCACAGACGATCTCTTTCCGCCGCCCTCTCTAATTCCGTCTGTCCCGACTGCGCCAGTTTGCCAGTTCCGAAAGTATCGAGTAGCTTCGCAAGCTGTACAATGAAACTTGAAAGGTTTTTACTAAAAAAGGAATTCCCGTCCGCCTGCATTCGCATTCCTTCTCTCCCTTCGACCGTCTCATATTATTGCAGTTCTACAAACGTATTACATTCAGTGGTTCTACTTGATCGAGACAATTTCTAATGATCTGTACTTGCACTCCAGTTGACTGAATTAAAAACAAGCAAGTGCTATCTCTTCCCTTCGCTTCATCGCCTCTCGGAACAATCCCGTAATAATCTAAGGGAAGTTGAAACAGCGTTTGAGTTTGTTTTTATTTCATTGCGTAGAATTTCACTGCGTACCGGTAGTTATCCGGGGAGCGCAATCATTTCCCGGATAGATGGGCCGGGTATAAAAATACGCGAGCCGGGTCTCAGTCAAAGATTCCTCACGTATAACTTAATCCGTTTGTTCCCGTCGTTTCCCCTATTTTCCCCGGTTTATGTCAATAACGCGCGTTTCTCGGCTGCTGGAAGCTCACTCGAGCCCGTCTTCGTACGCACGTTGAATTTTAATCGGGCACGAGACGAGGCAACAGAGATAGAGAGGGAGGAGCGAGCGAGCCACCCTTATTGGGGAGAATGCCAAAGTAATGAGTTTCACCCGCAGCACGGCTCGGCGC